TGAGCAGTGTCCCTAGCAAATCAGCATCACATTTGGCCCTGAAAATGGAAGGAGACTTGAAGGGTCCTTAAGAAAAGCTCTCCATCAAAACCACCCCCGTGGCTGTGTTGGAAATGGTCAGGAATCTGGAGAGACAATAATTTTCATCATCATTTCTTATTCAGTGGGACACAGGTTACATAAAAAAGTTTAACAGGTTGGATCGTCCTATCAGTCCCCAGACTTCTGGAAAGGGCCAGATCAGGAATGCAAGCTGAGCCCCCATCCCTCCTCCAAAAGGCTTGGACCAGCAACGTTTCAGACTTCAGATTTTTCTTTTGGATTTTGGAATACTTGCACATATATACAGAGATCTCTTGAAACTGGGACTCCAGTCCAAACAGGAAACTCATTTGTTTCAGATACAGCTTCTACACACAGCTTAAGGAGATTTTGTAAAGGTCATTTTGTGCATGAAACAAACTTTTACAAACTGAACATTTTCCCTTGTAGCACCATCTAAGCTAGATCTCAGATTTTTTGGTTCAGGGTTCTTCAACGTATGTGTTATGTTGTGTGGGCCACATGGTCTAATTACCCAACTCTGCCACTGCAGTAGCACGGACACAGCCAAAGATGGCAGGTGAGTGAATGGAGGTGGAAGTTTTCCAATAAAACTTCACTTACAGACACAGGCAGTGGGATGGATTTGGCCCTGAAGCTACTGTTGGCCAATCCCTGGATAAAATTAGGGCCTAGCACAGCCACAAAAGGAAGACATGTAGTAATAAAAACAGTTTTCAACCTTTAACAAATAATCATAGAGCTAGGACAACAATACCAAGCCATTACATTGACATACACAGAGGGCGACGGAATAAAGCCAGGTATCGCTTGGCTCACTTTGAAATCATTATTTCTTAGATCACAAAGAATTTCAGGTATATCATCCCGCACAGCAACAATATATTTGTAGAAAAGAGATCGTGTAATAGCAACTTTCACCCAAGGTACTGGGGAGCTAGTGAATGTTCAATGCCTGCTGAATGTGCAGGTAGGTGGACAGAATGGGATACTCTGGTTGTTTCTGTGTTTGGGCTTCGCTAGTGATTGGATGAGAGTTGAAGAGAGCTGTCTAAATTGACTTTGTGGCTTCAGGCCTTGAAACTAGAACGAAAAGCCAGTGTCAGTAATAAGCAACATGGATGTGGACAATGACTAAGAGGAGGACTTGGGGACATCGCAGAGATGGCCCCACGCTGCAGTCGTCCGATTCCCGTGACCCGATTCCAGATGTCTGGAGTGAAACGACATCACACCACAGTGGAAACACCCGAGGAAGCAAGGATTTCAGCATCTCATTTCCTAAGACTTAACGTACGACTGAGAAAGGCCTCTTCATTTTCTTAGCCCGTTAGAGGATTGCTGGAATTTCCAACAGCCTCTAGAGACAGAGAGAAGTCTCTGTAGTGATCAAACTGCAGCTATTTCGCTGGGCAGAGAAATAAACAGATGGCGAGCTCCCCCCGCCACCCCACACGCTCAGAATGAAGACCAAGGCGTGTCTGCCTTGAAGCCACATTCGTCCTTGCAGGAGGGCAGGCAGGTGAAAACCCCACCTAGGGCAAGCAGACGGCCTAGGTGGGGTCTGCTGTGTGCAGGGGGCCTTGGGGCCTTGGGCAAACCTTGCATCCTTCCTGGGCTTCCACTGCCTCACTTGTGAAATCGGCTTTCACTCACAAGCCAAGATGACTTCTGGCTCTGACACACTTGGCCTGGTATCCTCAGTCCTCTGAATCCTAGCTTCTTAAGAATCTGATTCACGCACTCGCTGCAACATTCCATTATCAGATGTGACATGGATGCTCTGAATCCTAACTGCTGTCTGATCGCACCACCCTCACGGGCTGCATGCTCTGTGGGGCCGCACTGTCCTCTGTCTTCACTGCTGCGCTCCCCACACTTTCCAGGAGCTCTGGGCACAGGTGGGATTTATATACCTCACCATGTTTACTAAGCAACCGAAGAGAAATGAGCACCTTGCTATTGGCCCTGACATGGATATGGATGCTCGTCTGGCCCCAGGGCGACACTGAATGCTGTTTCTCTGTGACACCAGCTGTCACTGGTGGAGATGTGAATGCCAGCAAAGCCTGACTTCACTGTGGCAGCCTCACCCGGGACTGGCTCACTGGGGACTGAATCCTGCCATCCCATGAAAGGCCAGGCTTCCCATGCCGGCCTCCCTGGCCGCAGAATGCGCTGGATGAACTGGGCAGAGACCAAGAGCAGCTTCCACCTGGAGACAGGCGGGGTCCGGGAACCTCCCACACTGAGGAACATTCAATACGGCAGAGAGCTCTACCCATGCTGCACCGGACAGCAGGCTCCACACCCAGGGAGGAAACCCAGAGCAAAGGCATCTTCTTCCCTGGATGGCTGCAAGGAGATGGCTCTGCTCCGGCTCCCACAAGTAGGGGACAGGGGTGCCTCTGCCCACACTGGGAGTCTCGGTCACCCAATGATCTATTTTTAGCTGTTTCTGTGCAGAACTCAAAAAACCTTCGGACACTGGGCTTATTCTCAAGGTGCAATGAGTAATAACCAGGAACCAAAGTGCCCCCCGCCATGAGGTCCACCTGATGGTGTAGGGTTGCCTGGTGTCACCACACTGTCTGTCACATGTGACCCCAGAGCCCGTGAAGAGCTGGGAATCTAGGGTACCTGGCTCTCATTTCTGGCCTGGAACTTACTTGTTGTGTGACCTTGGCCAAGTCCTGCCCCTCTCTGAGCCACAGTGTCTTCACACATGAATAAGGGTAAGGAGAGACCAAAGGTTTCTGCAGATTCTCACATTCTCCAAAACCATGTTTCATCCTGGAAGCTGACGCGGGTCCTGGGCACAAGTCACATGAACAACCAGTGACAACCAGCCCTCCAGAAGTTGTCTGATTGGCTCATCGCGTTTCAGCATTGCCCTTCAGGGGTCCATTTAGATCAAGCTGCAACCTGTGGTCACTGAGCACTTGCTATGTGCTAAGTGATTTCAATACCCACCTCTTCGTAACCAGCCATAAGAAACTATCATTGTCCCCAAGCCACAGATGATGGGCACAGTGCACCTATCCAGAAAGGGGACTATATGGACACCAACACTTGAATTTCACCTATTCCCACTTCCTACAGGAGGGTCTGTGAGCAAGTCACTTCCCCCAGCCTCAGTTGCTCATCTGTACAGCAGGGACATTGGTGGCTACTGTCTCACAGGGTACCTCCAAGGCCTGAGAAGAATAAGAGTTGAAGCCCAGAGGACGCCCTTGGTGACTCTTAACCACAGACCTGGGCTCTATGCTGCCGCTGCTGCTGATGTTGATCTCCTTGCCTCCACCGGAGAGGAGGAAAGGAGGCCACGGCAGCTGTGTGCATGGGTGTCACTCTCAGCACGTGTTCTGTGCACTGATCCAGAGGTGAGAGGGAGAGAGGAGAGAGCTCTGGGCTCAATCGTGAGGCACAGGGTCACTACATAACCATGGCCAAGCTGCTCTTAGCTCCGGTTCTCCACCGGGAAAGCAGGGCAATCACTGGAGTTGATGAAAAGCCCTAGCATAGCACCCAGGGAGCAGCCTGAAGTCTATCATAATGCAACAACTTTGTATTTTGGAACAGAGAAAAATCCGGTTGTCTTTATGATACCAACTAGAGATCAATATAGTCCCTGTGGCTGAAGGGACACAAGTTTCCCATTTCTACTTTCTCTGACACCTAGCACATTCATGGCTATTTTTCAGTAGCTCTTTTATACCATGGAGTGTGGCACTTTCACTAACTCGGCTGGGCTCTCCTGCCCCATCTGCTGCAGGCTGGCCACCTCCAGCACACATCCCACCCTCCTGCTGCAGCTGCGGGCCAGTCTGCAGGCGGGCCCCGATGCGTGTCCTAGGCGCAGCCGTTTCCTAGAGCTTCCTCTCCATTGCCTGTCCCAGCCAATAACTTAGAACACTGCTTGTGAGCAACTTCCCATCACGACCAGACAGGCAAAAAGGGACACGGTCATTTTCCTCTCTTCTATAAGGAAAAACTAAGTGGCCAACAGAAGGAAACTCATAGCATAGACACTCAGCCACGGGATGGGGTGACAGGGAGTGGTGGGGACTGTGACCAACCAGAACACCCCGGAAGGAGGTGGCTGTTGTTCAGCTCAGCCACACACAGCCATGTTGGTGTGCAGGTCTGGTGCCGCCCAATCTTATTTGCCAAGGGATGCCAGGATCAGATTTCCACTCTCCATGTCAAATTTCTACAGGTTGGCAACTAACTCTCACCCACCCCCACCCGCTTTTAAAAAGTGAAACTCATAAGTGAGCTGGACTTGGCCATGAGCTTCACATTTCTAGTTCTGCGTTGATCCTTGAGGCACATCACACATTCACTACCAAAGTCCTCACACTTCCCCACGTTTCCCAGTTGCCCTGGGGGCCAGTCTCAGGTTCTGGCCTGAAGTCTGTGAGGGAAAGAGCCATGAGCTGGCTGCCTTCTCCCATGTGTCTGCCCCAGCCAGGTGGTGGCTCTAGAGTCCAGGGAGGCTGTGAGACAGAGGTGGTTGCTCTCCCCTCCACAGACTGCGGAAGAGGGACAAGGGTGTTCTGAGATCTGGGACCTTCGAGGGGAGACAGCTGGTGTTCCCAGCATACAGCTCACTGACCCAAGGATCACCGTGGTCCTTTAGCACCGCTCAGTTTCCAATGCGCCTTATGAGGCAGACAGGGTAAAGCTTTGTCATTTCACAGGTGAGCAAACTGAGGCTCAGCAGGTAAAGCGGAATAGCCTTAAGGCTTATAACAAATATACAATGGACTTAATTCTGGGCTCCTGAGTGGACTCTGTCCAGTCCCATCCTACCTGCCAACTTCCGAGCCAGACTTTACAACACAACTGCTAGGCACTCTCTAGTCAACTGAGCTGGCATAGGACAATCATGCATCTCCTGCGCCTGCACAGTTGCTCCAAACTTGACCTCTCACCTTTCCCGTTGACTTGGTGCCCTTCCAGATGCAGAAGTAGCAGATGGTCCAGGCTGCTAGGAGACACAAGGCCAGCTCCCAGCGGAGGCTCCCGATGTGCTCGATCCCATCGGAGATGGCCAGCACGCGGCGCCTGCAGAAGAGCGGGGGGAATCATGGGGCTCGCAATGGCCTCTCACCTCTTGCCCACTCCCCACCATCCACCAGGCGCCTTCTCTGAGCCAAACCTGGGGTCCCCAAGGGGAAAAGCACCACCCTGCCCCCATGGATCCACTCTCTGCGGGGAGGTGAGAAAGACAGGGCAGAGGATAACATACGAGGCTCAGGGAAGGCCAGAAACACCTGACCATGGTATGTGGGAGGCTATAGTGACAACTGTAAACATCCCATGTGCCCGGGGGGGCTTGCTGTCCCAGCCCTGCTGTGCTCACAGTGGACACAGGACTTGATGTGACCACTGTTTGGCCAGCAATGGGACAAATGTCATTTCAGACAGAAGCTTCCAGAGCGGTGTGGCCTGCTCTCTTGCTGCCCTTTCTCCACCTCCATTGTCACTATGGAGGCTGCCATCAACATAAGCCTCCTCTGCCTAGAGTCAGGGATGGAGCATAAAGAAGGAATAAACTGTGCTGTTCTGAGCTACCAAGATCGCTGGGCTACTTGTTACTGCAGCATAACCTAACCTGTACTGACAGGGTGTCCAGGAAGGCTTCCTAGAAGTAGAAGCATGTGAGCCACACTTTGGAGGATGAGCAGACTAAGCCAAGAGAGGGAAGGGCAGAGACTGCTCCAGATTGAGGGAAACAGAGTATAGTGCATTTGGAATACAGCAAGCTGGGGCACAGGCAGCCAGAAGGAACAGCAGGAAGGGCAAGCGATGGAGGCATACAGGAGCTTTGTTCAACACAACAAGGGGCTGAGGCCAGCAGGGCCAATACTGGGAGGCACAGCCTTCCTGCAGGCCCATCGTTTCCACATGGCCAACGTGGGCCTGGCTCCCAGAGCCCATGCTGGGGTTTCTTTTCTTTAAAGACTCGCCATGCTCCATACTGTGCAAAGCCGTGGCACCAACACAAACCCCTCCAAGGTTGCTCAGCAAGCCCTTCCAGCCTGCCAAAGCACCCCCACCTCAGCTCACGCTGGTTGCCCCGGCACTCTGAGAGCCTCCTCTGGGAAAGGAGCTCCCACCCCACCAAGCACGACAGCCACCCTCAGTGTCTGTTTCCCTGGGAATCCACTTGGGCCTGTCTCTGCATTAAGTACTCAATGGCACCAATTAGCACTGGTCAGCAGGCTCCCTCTGGCCCCAGACCCCTGCTGGAGAAAGCTTCAGGCAGGAAAGGCAACCGGCTGGAACTCAGAGCCAGAAGCGGGGACAGCACCCATAACAAGCCAGGCACTAGGTCAGATGGCAAGGACCGAAGGCAAAGGATGACGTGGCTCCTGCCCTCTTC